ATATGTCATTTTTCTAAACAAAAAAGACTTCCTTTTCATATTAGTACTTCTCATGCTTCTACTGCTTTTGATTTAATTCATATGGATGTTTGGGGTCCTTATAAAGTTACTTCTTATACGGGTTTTAGATATTTCCCAAATGTTGTTGATGATTATACTAGATGTACTTGGGTATTCTTACTTAAGACAAAATATGAAGTTAACTTTCATATGATAAATTTTTATAAGTTCATTGAAACTCAATTTCAAAAGAAAATCAAAATCATTAGAACTGATAATGGTACTGAATTTTTATTTCCTGAATTCTATAATTCAAATGGTATTCTTCATCAATTATCTTGTGTTGAAACTCCTCAACAAAATGGTAGGGTTGAAAGAAAACATCAACATATTTTACATATTGCTAGAGCTCTTTTATTTCAATCCTGTTTGCCTATATCTTTTTGGTCTGACTGTATTCTTACTGCTGTTCATATTATTAACAGGTTACCTACTTCAATTCTTCAAAATAAATCTCCTTATGAATTATTATATAACTACCCTCCTGATTATACTCATTTAAAGATTTTTGGTTGCTTAGCCTTTGCTTCCACTATTTGTTCTAACAGAACAAAATTTGATTCTAGGGCACATAAATGTGTTTTCATTGGTTATTCTTTAGGATCTAAAGGATACAAATTATATGATTTAAACACTCATAAAACTTTCATTTCTAGAAATGTAAAGTTCTATGAGATGATTTTTCCTTATAAAACCAAGAATTATGAAAATAAGACTGATTCTGATCTCTTATATTCTCCAAATAATAACTCTATTATTGACTACTTAAATACTTTTTCTCAAACTTATTCTCAAAATTACATGGATAATGAAATGAATGATGAAATAAATCTCTTTCAAACTAGTAATACAAATACAGATATTGTTACTAATGATTCTTCCAGTAATATGCAGACAGGTAATGATCATGACACTGATCACAATACTACTGAAAACAGTTCTCTAAGGAAATCTACCAGAGTAAGATCTATTCCTATTCATTTAAAATACTTTCAATATAATTTGCCTACTTCTATCATTCCTAATACTTCTGAATCTTCATGTAATTTTGTTAAATATCCTATACAAAATTATATTTCTTACAACAAACTAAGTTCTTCTCATCATTGTGTTATTGCTTCTGTTTCAAGATTTGTTGAACCCAAAACTTATAAACAAGCTATTAAACCTTCTGATTGGAAAAATGCTATGAATACTGAAATTAAAGCTCTTGAAGATAATAAAACTTGGATTCTTGTTGATCTTCCTAAAGATCAGCATACTATTGGTTGTAAGTGGGTTTTTAAAACTAAACTTAAATCTGATGGTTCTCTTGATAGGTATAAAATCAGATTAGTGGCTAAAGGCTATACTCAAGAAGAGGGCCTTGATTATTTTGATACTTTTTCCCCAGTTGTCAAATTAACTACTGTCAGAATCCTTTTAGCTGTTGCTAGTTCCAAATATTGGTATTTACATCAATTAGATGTAAATAATGCCTTTTTACATGGAGATTTAAATGAAAACATTTATATGCAACCCCCTCCTGGTTACTTAGTTGATAATGATCATAGAGTCTGTAAACTTCTTAAAAGCCTTTATGGTTTAAAACAAGCTTCTAGGCAATGGTATTTTAAACTTTCCGAATCTTTAATTTTTTTGGTTATAAACAGTCTCAAGCTGATTTTTCCCTTTTTTACTAAAGCTACTAATAATTCCTTTACTGTGATCTTGCTTTATGTTGATGATCTTATCCTTGCAGGAAATGATATGAATGAAATGAATTCTGTCAAATCCTACTTAAATCACAAATTTACCATTAAAGATCTTGGTGAGCTAAAATACATCTTAGGAATAGAGATTGCTAGATCTGAAACAGGTCTGGTTTTAAATCAAAGAAAATACACCCTTGATATTCTATCTGACTTTGGTTATCTTACTTCTAAACCTTTTTCTACTCCTATGGATTCTAAACAAAAATTTTCAAAAAATGATGGTGCTCTTTTAACTGATCCTAAAACTTATAGAACATTGATAGGAAGATTACTTTATCTTACTATCCTACTAATGTTCATATGATTGCTGCACATAGGGTGTTAAGATATCTCAAAAGCTCTCCAGGAAAAGGTCTGTTTATCCCTCTAAATCTGCCTTTCATATTCAGGCTTACACTGATTCTGATTGGGCCTCTTGTATTGATACTAGAAGAAGTGTTTCTGGCTATTGTTTTTACTTGGGTGAATCACTAATTTCTTTGAAATCCAAGAAACAGTCTGTTATCAGTAGATCTTCTACGTTGTGAAGCCCAATGGCTTATATTTTTCAGGATATATTTAAAAATTCCCATATCTTTACCTATTACTCTTTATAGAGATAATAAGTCTACTTATTATCTTGCTCATAATCCTATACAACATCAAAGAACTAAACATACTGAAACAGTCTGCTGCAAATCCAGTTTGTGAAGCCCAATGGCTTATATTTTTCAGGATATATTTAAAAATTCCCATATCTTTACCTATTACTCTTTATAGAGATAATAAGTCTACTTATTATCTTGCTCATAATCCTATACAACATCAAAGAACTAAACATACTGAATTAGATTGCCATTTAGTTAGAGAAAAAATTAATTCAGGACTTATTACTCTTAAACACATTCCTAAACACATTCCTAATAGTTGTCAACTTGCAGATATATACACAAAGCCACTTGGGAATCCACTCTTCAATCAACTTGTAGACAAGATGAACCTGTTGGACATCCATGCTCATCTTGAGGGGGCGTCTAAAGAATATTAAACTGGATCTTTTTATTGTTTATTGGGCCTTTGTATATTGGCCCATCTTATATCTTCTATCCACTACAACAAAATAGGCCTTTTGTAACACCTACAAAATGTTGCATTACATAGTTAAAATGTTACAAAAGGCTTATGTAACACTTGTATTAGCGTTACTTCAGGTCTCGTTGCATAAAGTCATATGCAACATTTTTTACTATATTATGCAACGTTTAACAAAAATGTTACATAAACTACTCTAATGCAACACTTTTACACGAGAAATTTAGCACCATCTTATGCAACACTTTTTTGAATAAATGCAACACTTATAATATGACTTTTTGCAACATATTTATCATATTTAGGTAACATATTTAATATATCCTTTTGCAACATTAAATTACATTATGTAACATTTTTATCACTATTTTTTGCAACAAAATTTTTGAAATGGCAACACTTTTATTGAGTTATAGGTAACACTTTTCTAAAAATATGTAATATATATATATATATATTTATTTATTTATTTATAATTATTTATACAGCAACCACTTGATCAATACATATCAATAAAAATGTAAAAGTATCGCAATAATACATTATCCAATCAAGAAATATTCATCACATATCTTATGTGTCCAAGAAAACTCAATGGATAACATTATAATGAACATTCCAAACAATCTGTCAAGATATAGTAAAGAATCTAAAGTTGCACAATTTGAAATAGAAAGTAGTACTCTAAAATATCAAAATAATAATAGCAATCAATTAATCTTTTATGAAATTAATTAAATATTTTGGACTCTATACTCCAAGCGAGGTGACATCAAAACTTGGAACCATGGCAGAAAGCTTTGCTAAAATCAAATCCATTTTCTGTTTCTCAACTTCACGCTCCTTCCGCATTTGTTCTAGCTCGGCGTCCTTTTTCTCATTTTTCTCTTCAATCTCCTTTCTCAAAGTGCTCATGATTGTCTCCATATCATTAGAAGTCATGACAAACGACTGCACGACCTCTTTTGTATTAGCAAGGTCTTTCTTGGTAACACCTCTTCCACACATTATTGGACCACCACTTTTCTCCTTTGACATAACAGCATCATACCCATCAATTGCAGCTTCACCTTCTTCATTATTTTCTTCCTCATAATTTTTCATTTCAATCTGTAAATGACATATCATGATAATCATTAAACATTCCAGTTTTTTGCCTCATAATTCTACATCTCAAATCTGCAAATGACATTACGATAAACTATACTACCGAAAATCATTATCAATGTTGTCATATTCAACTGTATCGTTTTCATAACCCCTGGGATCAGTTGACATAGGTCCCTCTCCATGAAAGTTCCACTTCAAATAATTCTCTACAAATCCCTTTGCTATCACATGATTCCAAATTTCATCTCTACGATACCAATAACGATTTTTACATTCTTTGCATGGGCAAAGAATTTGACCCCCACGATCGATTCCTTTAGCAAAAGCTTTATCAAGGAAACTGGACAAACCATTCTTGAATTCGAGTGAAAGTCTATGAGTATACATCCAAGTTCTATCTTTCTCCATTACCTTAGACTTCATTGAAAAGGAATAAATAAATAAATAAATAAATAAATAAATAAATAAATAAATAAATAAAACATAGTAAAGTCAAACAAAATTCGAGCTTTACTAGAATAAATAATTAAAGGTGGATCCTCTGGCAGAGAAAGTTAAAAAGATACAACTAGCAAAAGTCGGGCTTTTCTGAAAAGGATGTTCTATAAATGATTTTTTTGTGTTGATTTCACTACACACACACACACACATCTTTCACAAGGTTGTTGACATCCTCCTGTTTTTTAAAGTAAGACTCAAGCACTTTTTACAAGGACAAAACTCAAATTCAAAAACTCATCAAACTGCTCATCATTAAATATTAATAAAAAAATCAGAACACACCACTTCACATTATGACACCATACACTACTTGTCTACTTCACTGGTAAAAAGTTTTATAAGGAGCAAATCACAAAAAAAACATAATTTGATTGTGACAAAGAAAAAGAAAGCCTTTACTACTCTTAAGTAGTTATAACTTATGTAAGTAGTTTATTTTCTTTGTTAAGTAGGTAAAACTTAAGTAGTTCACTACTCTATGTAAGTAGTTAAAACTCTATGTATTTTTCTTATTGTGTAGGACATTCCCAGTAAAACAAAGAAAAAGCAGCTATGGGCAGAGGAAAGTTCAAGGCCAAGCCCACCGGTCAACACCAATTCTCCACTCATGAGGAGATTCTTGCTGGTACTTCTACTCGTCCTCGAACTTTTAAACGGTATGAAGCTGAAGCAGAGGAAAATGAGATACCCGAATCTGAAGAGGAATTTGAGGAATTCGAGGGTGAGACAGAAAAGCAGAAGGGTACTCAGGGTATTATTCAGATTGAAAATCCTAATTTGGTCAAGCCCCAAGAATCTGAAAGCAAAAATGTGGATATTGATAAAACCACTGAACTTTCAAGACGTGAGAGGGAAAAGATAGAGAAACAGAAAGCTCATGAACGGTACATGAAGCTCCAAGAACAAGGGAAAACAGAACAGTCAAGGAAAGATTTAGACCGTTTGGCCCTGATAAGGCAACAAAGAGAAGGTGCTGCAAAAAACCAAGAAGAGGAGAAGGTTGCTAAAGTATAGAAGAAGTTGGAAGGTCGGAAACGAGTTATGATGAACGCTCTCTGAATGAAGTTGAATTATATTTTCTACAGATAAAGTACATCACTTAATGTGCCTACTATTGGCATGTGCAAATTTCTTTTTATGTCCTAGACTAGATGGCTCTTAGTGGAGGGGCTGGGTTCAACATTCCATTACTTCTATTTATGCCTGGATTTAACCAATTTATCCCGTCTGTTTCAGCATGTGTTTTACATGCTTAACCTTTATATGTTCTGTGTGGGTTTTGACCATTGATATACCCTATCATCTCTATATGACTACACTTATGGGGTCATGATGTATGGAGTAAGAGGAAACACAACACATAAGTAATACACCACATTACACATTTTGTACGCTTAGGTAAAGTCGGGTTAGAAACAATCATTCTCAAAATTCCATCACAGTTGATTTAAACACTTTACACAGATAATAATTAATGTTTGTTACCTTAAAAAAAGGTTAAAACTCTATGTAACAAGAGTTTTGCAGAAGGAGTTTTATTTTTGAATCAACTAATGTCATAGAGTTTCTATATGACATTAGTTAACTACTCTATTATAAGCAGCAAACAGTTTTAACTACTCTATGTAAGTAGTTTCTATATACAAACTGATGTAAGTAAACATATATGACAAAATTAACTACTCTATGATAATCAAGCAAGCACCATGATAAAGAGAGCAGAAAGATTGAAACTAATCATTGTTCCACAAGCACATGACAGTTGATACTACTCTATGTAAGTAGTTTCTATATACAAACTGATGTAACTAAACATATATGACAAAATTAAGCCAATTTTTTATTAGATTATATATAATTTCAGTAAGAACATAAACCACTTCAGAAAACTAAATCTCAATTTCAGAAAAATAAAAAACCTAATTAGATTCAAACTAGAATAAACAATTACTCAGCAATCCCTTAAATCGATATTCATACGAACATCCAAAAAGAAGATAAATCGTAAAACTAAGTAGTACAAGATTGAGGTAAAAGGCGTGCCTGAGATAAATATGGACCGCGGATCGAAGAACTGGCCGACGATGGTTGAGTTTGCCGGTGTGGGTTCTCTGGAGCGAACGTTGTTCAGCGACCTAGAAGCAGAGAAGCTTTGTGGTCGCAGTGGATTGGGAAAGCCAGAAGGAGGCGAGCTTTTGTCGTTGAGAGAGCCAGGAGGAAGCGAGCCTAGCTATGCGCAGGGTTGAGAATTATGATAGGAATTGAGAAAGGGCAAGAGTTTTACTTAGTATATTTGTCTCCTGGGCTAAAGAGTTTAATTATTGGAGCTGGCGCGAACATGAAAATTTTAATAGCGGGCCGGGAGTATGTATTAAGAGTGTACGAATAAAAAATAATTCAAAACTAAAAATTAATTATTTTTATTTTTGGGGATATATGTTGCATAAGACTTGACCAAAAGCAACATTCCTAAGAAGTGTTACATAAAAATCACCCGTAAAAATATTTATTTATCAATTGCAACACTTAAAATATAAGTGTTGCATAATATTTAGTAACATGCAACACTTTGCAAGAAGTGTTACATAATTTTATACTCCAAAGGTTTGAGCAACAGTTATAAAAAAGTGTTGCATAATTTTAGATCTGAATGACATATGTAACAAAATAAATAAATGTTACAAATAAAGTGTTACAAAAGGTCAATTTTGTTGTAGTGATCAGAATAGTTTTTAGCCCTTTAGTATAAATACAATTGTAAAACCCTAATCTGAATACTTCCAATTCATTTTTTATCTTCTTCATCCTATCTGCTCTCGATTACTGCTTCCGCATTCTTCATCCCACAGATACAGAAATATACAGTTCACTTTCAGGATTACGTACAAAATTCAAACGAGAGTTCATTATAGGAGGGACGAAGTACTATGTAATATACTATAATAAATTTTTATACACCGTATTTCGTATTCTCTCCAATCTCCTTCACATTCAACTTAGTCAAGTTTATTGTGTACATAGAAAATTAAGTAAATATTACTACTTCGGTTTTTAAATAAATGCAACACTTTGACTTTTACACTATTCACATGTTCTACTTTGACTACGTTTTATTTATTAATGTAATAATATTATTTTATGAAAAAAATATTGTTAAACTTGTCATTGTAAATTTTCATAATCTAATTTTTTAAATTTTTTTACTAATACAAAATCATTTATATTAATGGTCAAAGTTGTGTCTCTGTAAGTGTGAAATGTTGACCGTTGCATTTATTTAAGAACGGAGGAAGTATATAGTTGCGATTTATTTAGAAAAGAGATACAATTTTTATCACATATTTATTATTTTAAATGTAAATGATAAAGTTTTTTTAGAAAGCTAAATAATAATATTTGGCAAAGTTTTGTGAAACTATGGTGTACTAGTCTTCGGTAAAAAATTGGACCAAGTAAAAAATTAATATCACGATGGAATGTGTATTCCATCTCCAACAAAAAGTTGAATCCCCACACCGTAGAACCCCCACCAGGGGCGGAGCCAAGCTTTAGTATAGGCCTATAGGAGGGCTGAAATATAATACAAGTATTGAAATTAAATATAGAAGGATATTTGCAATTTTGACCTAGTAAATTTACTCAGTGTCCGTTTTAGTTCTATAAGTGTCCTTATTTGCATGTTTGGTCATGTAAATAATACTTTTTTGCTATTGAAGTACTTCCCCACCAGAAAGTACACTTTCTGACAGAGAATTCACCGGAAAATATGCCGCCGATGTCGAATTTTGTCTACAGTGTACTTTCAGGTGGAAAATTCCTTAAATGGCAAAGACCTATTTGTCAGAGGACATAATCTTCATGCGACTAAAGTTACAGGACTGTTGGTCCCAATCTTGAGATTAATCTATATAACAGCAGAATAGTAGCATCACAGATATAAGAGAAGCAGAGATTCAGAGAATGATATTGATATATTAGATTGATGAAAACTCTCTTCAATATACCGTGAATGCTTTTTTTTAACCGATATAATCTGAAAAGCAAACACAAAATGTATAGGAAGTTAAGAACACTCAAAATCCAAACAAAAATCTTTGCATGAATAAAAACTACTATAACATCCTAAATAATTGATCATATAAATTCATGAAACGAGCGGAAGATAATCTAGCATTCCTTGGGTTTAATGCACCAAATCCCCCTGCGATATGGAAATTCGGCGCATTAGCCCCCTGTGATTTATAAAAAGCGTCAAACTCCCTTGTGTTTTAATTAATTATGCGCAAAATCCCTTCTATGAACAAATGAAATTGTCAAATATAAGAACAATGATTAACATTTTTGTATGATTTAGAGATTTTGACATATTTACTTGCATATTCAATCAGAATATTAGGAAAAGTGATCTCAAAATCATTAAATTTAGTCATAAAAGGGTTGACACTTGCATTCCTAATATCGCGACCACACTTGGTACAGGTGGTGGGGCAACAACATCCCATCCTCCATGGATTTGAGCACAAGCAGCATCCGCAGCCCAACCATCACCAGTAGGAGCAACAACTGTGTATGGATTCCGTGAATGCCTTTACAATGATATTTTCTATGTATTAACGTTAACCGATAACCTAAAAGCTATGCACATATATATAGGTGAAGCTAGTTACGGTAAAGGGTTTACGCCTAGGAATATGGGCCAGACATATTTGGACCCATTTCCTTTTCTAGCCTATTTATTACAAATGATTAATACTATTAAAGGCTATAATAAAAGCTATCTAATACAAGACATTTGACAAACTTGAATCACAAATCACAATGAATAATCTTCGACAAGGACTAATATTAGGGACAACAAAAAATTACAGGATTTCTATTTTGTGGCAGAAAAATAGCTTATATTAATATGAAATAAACCAACCGTGCAACAATATCCAAAAACCATAACCTCCTACTATCCTGTAATAACAATAACAATAACAATAACAATAACAATAACAATAACAATAACAATAACAATAACAATAACAATAACAATAACAATAACAATAACAATAACAATAACAATAACAATAACAATAACAATAACAATAACAATAACAATAACAATAAAAATAACAATAACAATAACAATAACAATAACAATAACAATAACAATAACAATAACAATAACAATAACAATAACAATAACAATAACAATAACAACAACAACAACAATAATAATAATAATAATAATAATAATAATAATAATAATAATAATAATAATAATAATAATAATTGATGGTATCATGGACTCCAATCATGGCCCAATTACGGAATTACAGATCAAGCCCATAACGGGATCAAGCCATCAACAGGAATAGCCCTTAACGGGATTAACCCTTAACGGGATCAGCCCATGAATGAGATTAATATTAGCCGCTGGGCCTAACTATGCATCAGACCCATGACAGGAACCCATAACCAGGTCAGGCTGGACAGCAGACCTCGAGCCTAGGCGGAGTTCTAGTGAGGTCAGGATATTCCTAGGGCTTACATGGCAGGCTATCATCCATGCATAGCTATCTGGCAGCATGCAAGAACCAACGGCAGGAACGTGGACTTAAAGGAACAATCATTGCCCAACGTCCAAGATAATATAAGAGTCTAATTCGATTAAACATGTAATTAATAACATTTATTGTATCAATTTCCTCCTAGAATACTAGTTCCTATAGTCTATAAATGCTTCCTGTAAACTTCCTATCAAGGGACCGAACTCTTGAGAATAGAATACTGCCTTACGCTGCCATATTTTTATCTGCTCTCGTAGATATGGCTCTCGTAGTTGCATTAAACTCCATCATTTGGTGCTCTCGTTGAGAGAACAATCTGTGAAGACAATGGTTGGATCAAATAGTCACAACCGCATGGGTAGCAATCAAGGCGGCGATCGTTTCAATCAAGTCGAGATCGAGGGCGAAGGTTCCAAGTCACGGTGGAGTGATTTCAGGAGGCACAACGACAACACATCGGTTCAGGGT